AAAGTGTGCATCAAGGTTGTTTTCTTTCACCATACTTACTCAACCTGTATGCTGAGCAAATAATGCAAGAAGCTGAATTATATAAAGAATGTGGCATCAGAATTGGAGTAATACTCATATGATACAACCTTATGAAGAAGAGATAACATGATTACTGACGAACATCGAAGACCACAGTAAGAGTTACACATCAATGTAAAGAAAACAAAAGTCCTCACCACTGGAACAAAAATTAACATCATGGTAAATGGAGAAGAGACTGAAGGTGCCAAAGACTTCATTTTTCTGGGATCCACTCTGAACACTCATGGAAGCAGCAGTCGAAAAATCAAATGACATATTGCATTAGGCAAATCTACTGCACAAGACCTCTTTCATGAGCAAAGATGTCAGTTTGAGGATTAAGGTGCGCCTGCCTCAAGCCATGGTATTTTTTGTAGCCTCATATGCCTTTAAAAGTTAGAAAATGAATAAGGAAGACTGTAGAAGAATTAATGAATTTAAATTATGGTGATGGAGAAGGATAATAAAATTACCATGATTACCAGAAGAACAAACACATCTGTGTTGAAAGAAGAAAAGCCAGGATACTCCTTAGAAGCCAGGATGATGAGATTTTGTCTCTCATGCTTTGGACGTATTATCAGAAGGGGCCATTCACTGGCGAAGGACATCATGCTTGGTAGGAAGAGGAAGACTCCAACGAGATGCCACAGTGGTCGCACAGTGAGCTTCGGTGTAGCGAAGATTGTTCACCATTGATCAGTATTTTGGTCTGTTGTGCGTAGGTTCGCTTTGAGTCAGAACTGACTCAGGGCATCTAATAGTAACAACAACCAATGTCAAGTGCAGTGGGCAGAAGGGAGTCAGTGGCAGGGATAGGGTGCTATGCACTGCCTTGCTTCACAATCAGTTTGTCATGGATTTCAGGCTGATGGAAAAATCCTGCTTATCTGCTTCAAAGAATCCAGCTTCCAATCTGTATACTGACATTTTCTAGTAGCCACCAAGTGTGAATTGAAGTTTTCAACTTGCTGCTAGATGCCGTGGAGTTGGTTCCAACTCACAGCAATCCCTGTACAACATTCTGAAACACTGTGGACCCCGGGCCATCTGCACAAGCCTTGCATTCTTTGAACCCAGTTGTTGCACCACTGTGTCAGTCCGTCTCCTTAAGGATCTGCTTCTTTTTAATTGATCCTCTACTTCACCAAGTATGATGTGCTCTCTAGGTCCCTCCTGATAACAGGACATTTTCAACAATTTCAGTTTAATATAACAAGTGTTTCTTTTGTCCCCCTACTTCCCCTTTTGCTCTTTTTTCCCATTTTTTCTTCCTTCCTCCCTTCCTTTCTTTCCCTCCCTCCTTTACTCCCCCCATTTTCTTACTCTCCCTCTTGTTTTTGTTTTGAAATGAAGCAAATTTTATAAGGAACTTGACTTTGTTTAGGTACATTCTTTTAAAAGAACTGTATCTTTTGTTTGAAATGTAATGAATGCATTGGAAACCAGACACATTTATAAAGAATTACCTTGATATCAAAGGAGACCTAGTGGTAAAATTGTTAACCATAAAGTCTGAGATTTGAACTCACCAGCCACTCCATGGAAGAATGATGTACTAATATGCTCCTGTAAAGAGCACAGCCTTGGAAAGCCTATGGGGCGGTTCTCCTCTGTCCTACAGAAATGACCAGATAGCAATGGGGTGGTGTATTTTCTTAGTTTTTACCTTGATGTTAGGATAAGCCATTACTTTTACTTCCTAAATGAACTTTCTTGGGCATACTCCTTAATCTGCTATGGATAAAATTTGCCATCTGAAAGAAAAAATAATGATTTCTTATTAATGTCGAAATAATTGTGATTTTTAGTGCTGAGTCAAATATGGTACAATCTCTTTAGTTTCATACTATATTTGACTCGGCACTAAAAATGATATTTTTAGTTCAGGCTCCTCGTGTGGCTCTATGGGATAAGGCGTCACACTGTAAAGTTGTTTGAACTGCAAGGTCGGTGGTTCCAGCTCACCAGCTCCTCCTTGGAAACCCTATACAGGGTAGCTATGGGTTGGAAACGACCCTATGGCAATTAACAACACGATCTTTAGTTTGGTATTTTTAGCTTCTACACTTAAATTCTTAAATTTTAGTTTCTATATTTTCTTAAATTATATATTGAATTTATTATTTAATTTTTTAACATCATCACCATTTTTATTAACTCATATTTCTACCAGAGAAACCCAAACCAAACCAATGGCTGTTGAGTTTATTCCACCTCTTAGTGACTCTATGTGACAGAATAGAAGGGCTTCGTAAGTTTCCAAGGCTGTAGATCTTTTCAGAAGCAGACCAGCACATATCTCAGTGGCACTTCACAACAACAACAACAACCATTGAGTTATAGTGACCCCACACAAAACGGGGTAATACTGCCCTCTAAGGCTTCCAAGTCTCTAATCTTTATGGAAGCAGATGGCTACATCTGTCTCCCAGGGAGTTACTAGTGCGTTCAAAGCAATCATCTTTGTTTGGCTTAGCAGTTGAGCACTTTCACCACTGCACCAGATCTTCTTTTTAGTGCTAACCTAGTAACTGTTGTGAAGTGCCGTCAAGTCAGTTCTGACCCATAGCGACCCTGTGTAGGGTTTCCGAGGAGCAGCTGGTGAGCTTGAACCGCCCACCTTGCAGTTCAAACGGCTTTGCATTCTGGCGCATTAAACCACAGCGCCACACCAGGATGAATTGGGCTGCTAACCTCAAGGTCAGCAGTTCGAAACGACCAGCAGTTCCGTGGGAGAAAGATGAGGTGTTCTGCTCCTGTAGAGATTTACAGCCTCAGAAACCCTGTGCAGGGTCACTATGAGTCAGAACCGACTCCACGGCACTTAACAACAACAACAGTAGGGATTAGCATAGAAAAAACATTTGGTACAAAAATCCTAAATTATATCTTCTCTTTTCAGAGGAATTTATGAAAACTGCAAAGTTTTATACTGATCTTCTTTGTCATTGTAAAAGTGATGCTTTTCATCTGCATCATAGCGTTTAGATCAGGATGGATTATCTACACTTAACTACTAGTCTTTGCTGTCTCAAGCTGAGTGTTTACTATCTGTTCTTGTTATGTGCTGCCAAGTCATAGCGACCCCGTATAGGGTTTCCGAGGCTTTAGATCTTTCTTTGTGGGAGTAGAAAGCTTCATCTAACAATTAAAAAAAAAATATATTGTGAACTTCTAGATCATCAAAGAGAAATATATTTAGGTATGTCTCATATTTAATGGTGAAACACAATAGAAGTTTGGTGTAAGTAGTGGTAAGTACAGAGTCCTGATGTGGCACTGTTGGCTAATGAGCTGGACTGCAAAGTCCACTTGAACTGAGAGGCCTACATTTCAAGTTCACCAACTGCTCTTATACAGGGTCACTATGGGTCGGAACCCAACTCTGTGGCACTTAACAACAATAACAGTAGTATGTTCTACTGTAGGTATTTTACAAGATCAACGGATACAATTTGATGTCCGATTTATGGTTGAATGTGTTTTTTGTATTTTAGTTGACAAAGTACTGATGAAACAAAGAAGTTGGGCAAAACAGAGAACTTACAATTTTTGTAACAAAACAATTTACCGAAACTCCCCATGACTCAGCTTTCTCATCTGTTAAAAGAATATGTCAGAGTATATACAGTATACCATATGTGAGTGCAGTAATTAAAGACATAATGCATGTTAAACACTTAGCATAGTGTTCTTCATTAGAGTCCTGTTGTGGTGCTGTTGGGTAAGCACTGGACTGCTAACCACAAGGTCAGCAGTTCAGACCCTTCGGAAATCTTATCCAGGGTTTCTGTGAGTCAGAAGTGAATTAACAGCACTGAGCTACAAACAACAGCATTCAATAAATGTTAGCCGCTTCTATGAATATGAATAGAGTTAATGTGTTCAGCTTCACTGTGATGTTTTTGTCGCTTATGTTAAATATTCTAAAGGTTTGTTTCAGATGAAAGATCTTCAGACTTTATCTGAAGTATCAATTCTCAGTACCATGTTTTAACAGTTTTATTATGAACTTGAGTACAGTAATAGCAGGGCAACTATCATGATTATATTCCAGACTGGAGCAGTGCTTCCTAAACTCTCCACTTGTGACATTTTGGGCTGAACCATTCTTTGTTGTGCCGGGTGGATTGTGTATGGTAGGATGTTTGACAGCATTCCACAAGCTGCCTACTAAGTTAATGCAACCAAAACTGTACCCTGACATTCCAATGTCCTCTGGAGGACAAAACCACATCTGGTTGAGAACCGCTGGACTCAGCCATGAATCAATTGTATAAATAGACATATAGAAGAAGGAAGAGACTCATTCAGAGTAATACTGAAGTAGTTCTGATTGTAAAGGTTAGAGAGGTAGCCGGATGAAAGAACATTTTTATAATTTCAGCCTCGGCACAGAGAAGGCCCTGGTTTGTGAGTTTCTTACTTCTCTGTTTCTGTGGGTCACTATCAGAATTATGCTAGAAATTCCTTTCCTGGGATGGAGATTGAACTGAATGATCTCTTACATTCCTTTTAATGATGGCTCTCATTTTGATAGGTCTTCAGTAATAGATTTGGAAATCTTTCCAACTGAGGTTAGAATTGAGAGCAATGAAAATAACTGAGCTATCTCTTTGAGCATGAGAGAAGAGCAAAGTGCTGTGAACTGAGTTGTAAGGAATGCCCATAATATTAAACGAGGAAACTGGAATGTAACCCGTCTTTCTTCCCCCAGTAGTGGGTCACTGTAATGTGGAACAGAGGATACAAATTGTTTTTCTACTTGTATACTTTGATTTGAGAGAGCATTTAAAACTCTGATAAGTTATCCTTTTATGCTATTACTGAATGAAAGTAGTAAATTTAATATTCCACCGATTCTTTTATTATTTCAATATGTATTTCAAACATACTCTTTGTTTAACAAAAACTATCTGTGTTTTATTTTCCAGTTGTTTTTTATCTTTATTACTGGTGGCCGCTGTGGTGTGGAAGATAAAACAGACTTGTTGGGCTTCTCGGCGGAGAGAGGTATCTGAAATATTATTCCATCTTTCTCTTTGCAGGTTCAAGCAAACGTAGGGATCTCTGTGGCTTAATTAAGAGATTCCTTTCAAAAATCAATTTCAAATCAACTTTATTTATCAAGATTGAACAAAACAATCTAGTATTTTTTAAGCTCTAAAACTAACTTGACTGTTGCCTTTTTAAGTTAGTATCTGTAGGAATTTTGGTTCATTGTAGTTTTTCTGTAATATAAGAATCTTTAATGAATACGTATATGAATTCTGTTGATGAACTCATCTGTAATCTCTTTAATTTAGTTACTTAGCTGTACTAAAAAACGTAATTTATTTTAAAAGTATTTCTGATGTGATTTAAAGGAAAATTATGACTGGTTGTTATGTAATTGTGCTTTCAGAAAAAAGTAATATTGCCTAGAAATTTATCATACTACTCCTTTCTTGATATTCAAATGTTTTTCACTTATTTATTATCTGATAATTTAAGTATGTTTGAAGAACACTGATGTATTTCTTTATCAGAATTAATCACAAATGTTCTTCACAATTCTGAAACTCATTAATTAGGATTTGCAAAGCAAAACAAATACTGATGGTATATAAATACTGGACTGTGGGATAAAGCTATTGGTCAAAACCGACTAGATGGCACTTAACAATAAAAAACAACAACACTCTAAAATTATTAGACAATAATTTTATTATATTTCATTGTTCCTTTCAATTAACTGACATATATACAAAGCTTACCAACTATATTTATTTAATATTTGTATGTTGGTTGTTTTTGTTAAGTGCTGTCGATGCGGTTATGACTCTTAATGAGCCTGTATAGGGTTTTTAAGGAACATCTGATGAGTTTGAACCACCAACCTTGTGGTTCAGACCGACCTTGCAGTCGAGTGTTTATCCTACGGTGCCATACCAAGACTCCCTTAAGAGTGGTAGGGTATGGTTAGATGTTGCAGGGAGGGGATTGCAATCACAGGGAAGAAACAAAGTGTAGGATTTGTTGAATGTAAAACTGGTGATCTTGTCTGTGAACCTTTATTCAATTCACAATAAAAAGTTTCATGTATATACCAGAAAATGCAGCAGCAATTAGAACCACTTATAAATTAAAAACCAAAACTTTTTCCATCATATGAAATATAAAAAATATATATATATACCATATATTAACATTTTTAAGTATATTTATTTTTTAAGAATTTTAGTATACGGTATAATTATTTTTTTATACCTCATATGATGAAAATGTTTTGTCTTTTAAACTTATAAGTATTCTGTTTGCTGATGTATTATCTGGCATAAATACAGACAGAGATGTTTTAAACTTTTTGTTCTGCATTGAGTGAAGGTTCACAGACAAGGTCATAAGTTTTATATTAAACAAATTCTACCCTGTTTCATCTCAATGATCACAGCCGCCTCCATGCAACAACCGTTACCCCACTTCCTCCCTTGAGTCCCATTTCCATTTCCACCTACTTTCCCATCCCTTCTCTACTTTGTCCTGAGGTAAATTCTGCCCTTTGACCCTTGCATGGTGAGCATGCCCTACTAGTGTTGTTCTCCCCACTATATACCTATCTACTGTTAGGCTGAGAAGTGGGTCACAATGGTGAGCTCCATTCCAAGCCTGAAGTGTGGTTGAACGTCATAGTCTCCATTCTCATTCTGACCAGTAAACCCTGTCTGTTTTTGTAAGTTTGGGTTTTGTTCCACGTTTTCTCCCACTCTATCCGGGACCTTCCAATGGGATCCCTTTCAGAGCAGTTAGTCGCGGTAGCCTGGCACCAGCTGGTTCTTCTTGTCTCAGAGTCGTGGTGATGTTCACTTACTCCATTGGTCCATTAGACTAGTTCATTCCAAGCACCTTCAATGTTCATCACTCTTCTTTCTTCCACACATCTTAGATGGCTGTCATGATTTTTTAAGACCCCAGACACTACTCACCAAAGTAGCATGTAGAACACTGTCTTTGTGGACTATGCTATGCCAATGGTATCCCCTGAGACTCTGGTCCTGCGTCTCCAGGCCCAGGAACTCATTGCCTTTAGATGTTTGATAATATCTAAGGCGTTTCCATCATTTTGCCTGCTGTATGCTCCACCACATTCATAGTTATGTTTCCAAGTAAATGCTCATCTAAAATATTCTCTTTCAAATCCTATGTATTTATGAGTATTCTTCCACTCTTCCTCCCATACCCGGTCATGTATCTACTTGCAGAACACTTTTGTTCCAGGGTTTTGTATATAATAGTATTTACCCCTATCCCCTTTAGCCCTTGCATACCTCCTTGTGTCTTCACCTGTCTTCATCATTCTTCTGCCAACCTCCCTCTTCTCATATACTTCCCTCCCTATCACATGAGTTAACTCCCTCCCTATCACATGAGTTAACATGTGTCTACCTTCTAGCCAAAGGAGCTCTGGTAGCATAATGGTTATGAATCCGGCTGCAAACCTCAAGGTCAGCAGTTCGAAACCACCAGCTGTTCCGCGGGAGAAAGATGAGGCTTTCTGCTCCCGTAAAGATTTACAGCCTCGGAAACCCTGTACAGGGTCGCTATGGGTCAGAACCGACTTCACGGCACATAACCACAACCACCACAAGTGGAGTCCTGGTGGGGCACTGTGGGATAAGTGCAGGACTGCAAGGTCGGTTTGACTAGGTCGGAGGTTCAAACACAACAGTCGCACCTTGGAAACCCTATATTGGGTTACTATGAGTCGGAACTGACTTAACGGCAACAACAACAGTGAGTAGGTGGTCTGGTTGAAAGACCTTCCTTCTACAAAGAGGTGGCTGCTGTTCTATATAACGAATTCCCCAATTGGCATCCCTAGAGTACTACTAGCAATATCAGTATAGAATTTATATCATTTATAAACAGTATTTAGTATTTTTAAAAACGAATGCAAATATTTGATTTACCTCTAAACCTTTCACACGTCTCAAAATGAAAAAGTGCTTTTGGTTAATATTATAGCACGTCAGTGTAGATCAGACATATTTCGTTTTACCGCACTTGGATTTATTACACTGTACAGACATTGTGTGGTTAGCAGATTGATGATCTGTGGCAGTCTTTTGTTGAGCAAGTCTATGGGCACCTTTTTCCAATAGCTGTGTGTTATGTCACATTTTGGTTATTCTCACAAAATTTTCAACTTTTTCACAGTGTTACTGAACACTCAATAGGCTATAATATAGTGTAATAATAACTTTTATATGCACTGGAACCAAATCTGCAATATCTCTGAGATATTGAAATAAGTAATTTTACTTATTGCCTACTGATCACAAACTGGCAAGTGGATATTGCTTCAATATACTTTATACTCTTTGTAGAAATACAAAGATGAGTTTATTGTTAACAGTGCAACTTGATTGGACGTCAAACTCTTTAAAGAAGTCTTTCAACATATATGGTGCTCATGACAAGGATGAGGGAGAAATCAGCAATGCAGAGTAAGGACCACTGGACCAGTTCTTATCTGTACTTCTTAGCATCACTATATCCTCTTGATATTCTCTCAGCACAATGCTGTTCTTTCTAAAGCCCATTTAGATAGTGATTCTTTCTATTTAAAAAAAAATGTGATAATGTTTGTATTTAATTTTCAGTTTCTCCCAGTTATAAAAAATGGTTTCTTTCTTATTGAGAAGTAATGTCATGTTATAATATCATATGTCAAAAATCTTTGAAGGCATGATTTCAAATTTAATTTTGCTAAATTTTTTTAAATGCTAGATCCTAAATATTTTAGAAATCATTTGTATATTGGTGTTCAGAGTAAAGATCCCATTATCTTTGAGGATTGCTATTCTTGTTATGATGTTGGGCGCTGTTGAATCCATTCCGATTCATTGCTACCCAATGTGGCACTGGGGGATAAATCACAGAGTGAACCACAAGGGTGGCGGTTTAAATTCATCAACTGCTCCTTGGAAAACCTATACAGGGTTGCTATGAATAAGAACCAACTCGACGGCACTTAACAACAACAACAACTATGTGCACTAGTGTGAAAAAATCCTGTGCCATCTCACAAATACTGTTTCAGCCCATTAATTCAGCCACTATGTGAATTCATCTCTTTGAGGGTCTTCCGCTTTTCCAGTGACCCTCTACTTTACTAAACAGTGTGTCCTTCTCCAGGGACTGGTCCCTTCTAATAGCATGTTCAAAGAACATGAGACAAACTTTGTCTCTAAGGAGCATTTTTCTGTATTTCTTTCAAGACAGATTTGTGCCTTCTGGCAGTCCACAGTATATTCAGTATTTTTTGCCAACACCTTAATTCAAAGGTAGCAATTCTTCTTTGGTCTTCCTGGTTCATTGTCCAGGTTTCACATGTATATGAAGCAATTGAATACTGTGGCTTGGGTCAGGTGCATCTTAGTCCTCCAAGTGACATCTTTGCTTTTTAACAATTCAGAGAGGTCATTTTCAGCAGATTTGCCCAATGCAGTATGTCGTTGGACTTCTTGACTGCTGCTTCTATGATCATTGATTGAGGATCCAGGTAAAATGAAATTCTTTACAATCTCAATATTGACTGTTTATCTTGACATTGCTTATTGGTCCAGTTGTGAAGATTTTTTGCTTCCTTTATGCTATTATGTTGACCCCACACTGAAGGCTACAGTATGTGATCTTAATCAATAAATGCTAAATCGTCTTCATTTCCAGCAAGCAAGATTATGTCATCTACATTTGATAGGGTGTTGATGGATCTTCCTCAGATCTTGATGCATACTTCACTTGACTTTAATATCCTCCTTAGAGAAGCAAATTCTATTTTCCGTTCCATCCCAAAGATCAGTGATGTACTGGAAATATTCCAAAATACACTGTCATAATCTAGAAATGTCCTGGTGGCTTTGCTGTGTGTTGTTTTTGTTACGTGTTGTTGAGTCAGTTCTGACTCAGAGTGATCCTGTATAGGGTTTCTGATGGGTTTGAACTACTGACCCTTTGGTTCACAGTCTAGT